TCAGCCGTCCCTTGCCCATCCCTTCCCTTCCCTTCCCTCCCCTTCCCTTCCCTTCCCTTCCCTTCCCTTCCTTTCCCTCTCTCCCTCCTGTCACCATCCTGTTTTGTTTTGTTTTGTTTTTTCTGCTTACTGCCTTCCCTCCTTACCTGCTTGTCTGTCTTCCTTATTTTCTCCTTTTATTTCCTTTCCTTCTTTCCACTTTCCTCCCTTGTTTCCTCCTAGCAGCACTGAACAATGAGATTTCTATTTTTTTTTTATGGTGTGGAGTTTTGTAAGTTGATAGTGAGCTTTCACTATGAAAAGTCATTTAACTGAATTAAATACTAGCTAAACCTCTGGCACTTGTTGTGATTCATTATAGTGCAGTACAGTTAAATCGCTCAGATTGCTTGAATCACGCAACTTAGAATACAATAAACATTTCCCTCCATAGCCTGAATTCCATTTCTCTCTGGCCCCACATGTGATCTAAATGCACTTCACTGGTATATATGCTTTTGCAGTTGTTTCATCAAAAAGTGACAATATCACATCAAGTGCCAGTTTTGTCATGAAGTTCTTTAATTTCCTAGAATGGTTCAAGTGAGAAAAGGGAGGTGAGGCAATTCCAGTTCACTGCCTGGCCTGACCACGGTGTCCCAGAACACCCAACACCGTTCTTAGCTTTCCTGAGACGAGTCAAGACCTGTAACCCGCCTGATGCTGGACCTATGGTTGTACATTGCAGGTAAGCACAGAATTTTTTTTTCAAATCATTTTTTGTCAAGATTAGTGCTTTCTGTTTTACTGCAGGGAAAAACATTCTCTTCTTTCAAAGAGATTTCTGAGTCTATCGAAGAAAAAGGTGGTTGCATTGCAGGTCTGGGACATGAGTAAGACACTGCCAACTTGGATTGGCCAGAATTATTTTCTTTGATCTGTCCAAGAGGACTTGATTTTAGAAAATCTAAAGGTCTACAGGGATACTCTCTGCAGGGAGAATACAGATGTACCTATGGCATTCAGAAGGTGGCATGAAAAAGAAAGAATAATGCCAATTTAAGAACCAGAACATTGAACAAAGTGTGTTTTAAGCAATTAAACAGCTTTTGAAATTATTTCTTATGTTATGTTTTAAAGTAAAGAATGTGAAAATTAAGAATTATGAGTGGCAAATATGATGGAAAATACGTAGAAACCTTAATCCATATTCAAGGTTAAACATTCTTCTTAGGATCATGAAGAGCTGGAACTGCAAAGAATGTACCTGGGGAACAGACTGAGGTCAGTTCCAGGGAAAAGAGTGCTCCATGCTGTTTACAAGGTAGCAAACGTTTTTAGGCATTATCAGGTATGAATTAATAAACTCTCATGAGAGAAACATAGCTCCTATTAAAGTTTTGGGAGTAAGGAAAATGAAGAAATGAGAAGTCTTTCAAAATTTTTGACAAGAACAGATCTTGTGGAAAGCCTTAAAATCACACTGATAAGAATATCATCAGAACATATGTAGCAATTCTGATAGAACTAATCTGTAAGATGGTTCCCCTTAATTCCACAACTATATTGTTATAGCTTTCATAGTTTATTGTGCTGCAACTTTCAAAGCAAACTCCTATGATCAGTGATTTTTCTGAACTTCATTTTGGGATACCTTCAGTTAGTAAGAGAATTACTACTACTTGTTCACTGAAGCTACAAATGCTCAGCATATTTGAAAACCAGTTTTGCTTTTTGATACATAAAAAATGAGGACTAGGAATTACAAATGTTACAGCATACCACACCTGCTAGTTCTAGCTCCTTACATATTGGTAAACCAGCCATGGAAGCTGGTTATTTGAAGATTTTCTAAGTGATTAAGAGGCTTTTGTAAATGAGATGGGAAAATAAAATCAACAGGAGAACAAAACCAAAAAGTGTTGAAAAGTACAGGCTCTTTGGTGGAGATCAAAGAACACAAAAGATAGACATGTACTGTTTATGAAATGCCAGGCTTAGGAATGTGCAATAAATATAAATAATAGTAAAAATCTATTTATACAATTTGCTGAGTGTTTCCTGAATAGAGCCAAAGCTTTTTGTACCTGTATTTGTAGGATCTTAAAACATTTTGAATATTGCCTGTATTTCTAGTTTGCCTCAGCTTGATCTATATAGAGCATACCTACACATGTGCTCAGGAGTGAAGATGTTATGCTCTAAATTAAACCCAAAATTAATAGAAGAAATTAATCCTCCCACTCTGAGAAGGCTGTTAAGTTAGTATAATTACCAGAAATCTCTAAATTAAAAAAAAAAAAAAAATTAATTAGTTGTCAAGAGTCATACAGCAAGAGGAGAGATAAAATTGGGAGAGAGAAAATAAAATGCAGTTTATTATCATTCAGTGGTATTGACAAAATGCAGGGCCATTATTTTCTGTTTGTCATTGGTTATTCATGCAAATTTCAGTGGATATGGTGATCAGGTTAGGTAGTATGACTTGATGCCAATTGAGGGACTTTTTTTCCCAGTTTCCTATTAATTTATTTATTGATACTCTACAGTATGCATATTCTGATCCTAAATTTGTTGAAGCAGTTTGCTTTATGTATAGCTTCTTGAGGCATTAAGATTTTAGGAATTTCATAAAACTTATCCTCCACAGGAGGACTTCCAAAGTCCAGAAGGACTTCAAATAGACTTCCAGATATTCTATTATTTTATCAAGGCTCTTAAATTCGACTTGCAACAATTTGTCCATGAGCTGAATAACTAATGAAACCAGATTTCTTGCAAATTTATAAATTAATGTCTCTGTATTTAAAAATTTTATGTGTCTGGGCGTATAGCAGCAAGTGTTGTAGATAGTCCAAGTTTATAAATGGCTCATTAACATATTAAAGTTAATATGCTGACTGTCAAACTGATAGACCAACAAAAGTAAGTTGCTATAGACCCTTTTACAATAGTAATATTAAGTTGGGTGTCTTTTTTCAGGCATATTGTAGTAACATTATATTTTGTGATTTGTATTGCCTTACCATTTTGAGTTTGACATTATTAAACTGGTAAAAAAATAAGAGGAACAACAATAGAGCCTAAGCACAATTTTTTAATGGTAAAAGAAATGTCTTACATTCAACAACATGAAAAACTTCCATATTTAGTTTGAAATTAAAGTACTGGACTTCACTAAACATTTCAACTCAAGGTCAGAAAAAAATTCATTTTGTATTGAAACAGAAGTAAGAAAGTTGGAATGTTATCTGTTTTTTCTGAGAATGTGCTTTCAGATTTTTCGTTCCTCTTTTCTCTGTTGCTTCCTTTGTCACTTTCTCCATTCCACTCTTTGCTTCTCATCCTGAGTCATTTCGCTTTTTTCATTTTTTTTTTCTTTCCAGTGTTTATACTGCTCTTTATTCTGTGAACTTCCCTAATTATATTCTGTTTCCCTTCTTCAATTTCATTGGTTTCTCAAACTCATTTCACTGTTTTTTACCATATTGCTGGACAATTATTTCTATATGAAATGTTCCTGCGAGTCTTAGCACTTTCTCTGAAGAAAGATCATTGTTCTAACGGTAGCCTTCCCCTGCCAATTTTTGTCATGCATCGTATTTCATTGACTACTATTACTCACCCTTTTCCACTGAGATACATTATCTATACTTGACAAACTTCTTGCTTTTCAATTTTTCCTTGGCTGGCTCTTAATTCGCCTCTGAGCCTTTTAAAAAAGTGCTCTTTTTCTTCTTCTGTACCTTGCCTGTCACTGTCTCCCATTTTGGTTTTGTCTCTCTTTTCCTTAAAGCACATGTACTACCATCATTCACATGTTAAAAATGTTTCAAACTTTCTTCACTGGGGCAAAACAATATAATACAGACCAAACTGTGACTGTAGTAGGCAGTATTTTCCACGATATCCCACTGAATGAATAATCTGTTTACTCCCCAGTGGGAACGTGGAGTTCATAGTGAGGAGTGTAAAACATCTGAGTCAGAACTGATAACTTCTTTTATGTTATTTCCCATACTATCAGAGCTCAGGAAATTGTTGTAATGTCATGTTACAGAACTATAAATACAAGAGAGTTTATCTTTCAAAATATGTTTAGTAAAAAGAAAAAGTAGGTATGAAGAAGCTGTGGAAGCATTTTTCTGCAAACCTTTTAGCCCTTAAAAGAAATTAAAATAAAAGCTAGCAGGCAACTAATTACAGGGAGAAGCTATTTGTCTTTAATATTTTTGTGAATTTAGCTCAGAGTTTCTTACTGCTCAAAAGCTGAGCTCCTTTTCAATTTTTATTCAGGTCAACATCCAATAAAAGCAACAGGAGCCTGCCTGGGTGAAGTATGAATAAAAAAAGCCAGCTGTCTGTATTTTTATCATTGGAGAATAACCCTCTATTTATTCTGTATTTATAAGTAGGTATTGTAAGTGAAATGTTTAGGCCAAGCTTTTCCTTACTGAATTCTCCACATCAGCCTTAATATTGATCAACATTTGTTTTTCAGTCCACTTCATATTAAGAGATATTTTTTTTTTTTCCAGTTTGCCCCGTGGTTTTGGGATATGACTGTATATCCTATAGAGAATCAAGGTCATTGGAGATCAGGTTCATGAGTGTGGGCCCAAACCAGTTTGCATCAAAGCTGATAAGCTAGTTTAATATCCTGTTCCTAGGAAATGGTCGTTGAGTGTATGAGGAATTTATTTAATAACTTGAGGTGTGATTAGTGGGAAGAAGTCTGAGGTAAAAACAAGTGACAGCCAAAGAACCTACCGTGTAAACATAAAACATGTTCTGATAAACGTATGTCAAACAAATGCAAGTAGAAGTCTTCATAAGAAGTCTTGTGTGAAGAAAGCACAGAACTATATGATCAGAATTTATGACATTAGTAATTATCTGTTACCAATGTCCGTGTAACTAACATCTTTACATGTCATTTACACATCTACTTTTGATAATCAACAGTTTTATTGCCTGCGCATATTGAATTTGAATCTAATATATTTGTCAAAAACATGTTGAGAAATGTCATGTGTACATTTTAACAGTCAAAGTTCTTTGTGCAGAAAAGTTGGCAGTTTTTTATGTTCAAGAAGTACTTAAAAGATAATTAAAGCTACATTACTTTTAAGGAGAAAACATAGATCATTGCTGAAAGGATTGTGAAGCATCAAAGGTAACACCAAGGCCTGGTCTAAATGCATATTTTGTATTTATATTGTAAGATATTCTGGTAGAACTACCTGTATGAAAGAGGTGAAATGGTAATAATATAGATGCATATTGCCATTGCGCTTTTTCCAGGAAAAAAAATCTATATTTCTGTGTCTGTGTCCACCATAGAAATACTTTAGCAAAGCCCAAAGCAAGGTAAAGTTAAATTTAGATATATATTTGTTATAAACTGCTATGTTCCATCATCTTTGCATGAGGTACATTCTCCCAAAGACAGCAAAATCTTTATTTTCAGTGTGAGATTTGGTAGAGGAAAGCAACTAAATCCGACAGTAAAGCTGGATCGGGGAGGAGGGCAAAGGAACACAAAAGAAATTTAGTAATTGCATTGTATTTGTAGATATATAATATGTGCTCAGATCTTCTCTTGGCTTAGAGTAACTTTTATGAAGATTTTTATAATGGTTGAAATGCTTGATGCAAGTGGATGCTTTTTTATTTACTGACTGTTCTATCCTAACACTATTCCTATGGTCCCTTTGCATAGAATTTGAGTTAATACCACAGTCCAAC